CTTTTTGTGGAAGGTTTTTATTGTGTTAGCTCCGTTCTTCGAAGAGCCTTACCGCCGGAGACGGAAATCCGCGAGGTTTGAAATTTTTAGGGTCAACCTTTTCCAACCCCTTCCTTCCTTGTGGGAAGGCAGCATCGCTGCAGATGCTGGTTGTCCGAGGGAAACACCTTACTGCTGTCACACCCCTCTACAGTCAGCAGTACGACTTCGCCCTCAGACCTTGAGTTGCTGCTTTTAGTCTTACTGTTCTCCAATCAACCATCCTGGCATGGTAAAACTTACAGGAACACATGTTCCAGCCAATATAGCTCGGTTGGATCATGACGATAGGCAAGCCCGACCACCGCGTCAAGGTAGCAGCTAAGGTCTGGAACCTAAGCTGAACTGTAGATGAAAGAGTAATTATTTGGATTATTCGAACTAATGTCAGTCACTCAAACTTCTCATTTAGAAAAATATTTTGATAAGAAAAAGAATGTAATTTTATGATTTATCGTTCCACTTATGAATACACACTTCACTTGTGCAGTCTCAGTGAAAGATGACTTAATATTGTGCGGTTTTGAGTTATGCACATTTGAATCAAAATTGTCATTCATTGAGATAACAGTTATTCCAAGATATCGTGAGAAAATTTGGTAACAATTTCCAGGTAATGTATTCTTACTTACAAATACTAACAGGAACTAAGCTCCAGTCATTTAACTCGAAGAAAGCTGATAGAAATCGAAATAAAAAGTAGTCCGTGTTTTAAGAATTAGATACAAATGTACGTGTATTCAGAAAGACTTTCTGTCCCGAATTTTGACAAGCATTAGTCCATACAAGATGTTGTGACTGTACAAAGCAGTAAATAGAATAACCATATTCATCTAATGATTTTTTTTCTAATATCTTTACTAAGGTTGTATTACTCTTAAAAATGTGATTCTTAAACATTAAGAATCCTACTTTTAAATTTTTTGTCCACACAATAACCAATCAATGTTGTGTATTTCATTTTAACCATAAGGAAGCCATTGATCTTTCCTTAGTGTTTGCTCAGGTTCGTCAAGGACGTGTGTCCAGATTGTAGTGGAAACTAATCCAACTCCAAGTGACCAGACGGATTCTATTTGAAGGAGCTATGACTGACCTATGTAAACAACAACTAACTCCTTGCATGACTGTGGAATACATAAATTAACTTATAACACCACTTGGAAAACTCAGCCTGTAGCTCTTCTAGAAATACTACCGGTCCCAAGCCCGGATGAAGTAGCAGGGTTGGGCATGGGGTTAGCGACCCCATCCCGTGGAAAACTAACTCGCTAAAAATACGCTAACCAGAAAAAAATAATTCAAACCATTTTAACTCTGTCCTGGGAGTTGGAAGGTCTTCATTTAGAAGAATTATGACGCCTCATGGTGAAAGTCGAGTTCCTTCGGAATTCACGAGGCCGATGCCCATTCTAACAACCAGAGCAAAAATTTTTGTAGGTACATGGAACGTCCGAACAATGTGGGAGACCGGGAAGAACAGTCAAATGGCAACGGAAATGAGGAGATACAAATTGGCAGTACTGGGAATCAGCGAAACCCATTGGACCCAAGCTGGACAACAAAGGCTAAATACGGGAGAGATGCTGCTATACTCCGGTCGCGAAGAGGAAAATGCTCCACACACTCAGGGAGTTGCTCTAATGCTATCCAATGTAGCACGAAATGCACTTGTAGGATGGGAATCTCACGGATCTAGAATCATCAAAGCATCATTCAAAACAAAGAAGGAGGGGATCTTAATGAATATTATCCAATGTTATGCATACAACAATGATAGCAACGACGACATCAAAGATCAATTCTATGAGAGGCTGCAATCAATCATAGAGAAGTGCCCAAGAAAGGACCTCACCATCCTGATGGGAGATCTAAACGCCAAAGTTGGAATAGATAACAGCGGATATGAAGACATCGAAGTAACTACAAACATGCTTCACCTTCTATTCAAAAAGATTTGAGAGGAGGAACAAGTGCCGATGGACTGGAAAGAAGGACACCTCATCAAAATTCCAAAAAAAGGAGATCTGAGCAAATGTGAAAACTACAGAGGCATCACACTACTGTCAATACCAGGGAGTCTTTAACAGAGTGTTGCTGAAACAAATGAAAGATTCAGTAGTCGCCCAACTTCAAGATCATCAGGCTGGATTCCGTAAGGATCGGTCGTGCACAGACCAGATTACAACACTACGGATCATCGTTGAACAATCAGTTGAGTGGAACTCGTCACTGTACATCAACTTTATTGATTATGGAAAGGCATTTGACAGTGTAGATAGGAGGACGTTATGGAAACTCCTCCGACACTACGGAGTTCCTGAGAAGATTGTCAATATTATCCGGAACTCATACGACGGACTACAATGCAAAGTCGTGCATGGAGGACAGCTGACAGATGCATTCCAAGTAAAGACCGGAGTCAGACAAGGCTATTTACTCTCTCCCTTCCTCTTTCTTCTGGCGGTCGACTGGATTATGAAGACCTCGACATCTGAAGGAAAACAAGGAATACAATGCACAGCTCAGAATTAATTAGACGATTCAGACTTCGCAGATGACCTGGCCCTCCTATCACATACACACGAACAGATGCAGAAAAAGACAGCCAGTGTAGCAGCAGTCTCTGCATCAGTAGGCCTCAGCATACACAAAGGGAAAACCAAGGTCCTCAAATTCAAAGCGGAAAACAGCAATCCAATCACACTTGATGGCAAAACTCTGGAAGATGTAGAATCCTTCACATACATGGGAAGCATCATCGATGAACAAGGAGGCTCAGATGCAGACGTAAATTCAAGGATTAGGAAAGCAAGGATCGCATTCCTACAATTGAAGAACATATGGAACTCAAAATAACTTTCAACCAATATCAAAGTGAGAATCTTCAATGCGAACGTCAAGACAGTTAGTTCTACTGTACGGAGCTGAAACTTGGAGAACTACAACAACCACCATCAAGAAGGTACAAGTATTTATAAATAGCTGTCTATGCAAGATACTCAACATTCATTGGCCGGATACTATCAACAACAGCCTTCTCTGGGAGAGAACAAACCAGCTTCCAGCTGAAGAAGAAGTCAGGAAAAGACGATGGAAATGGATAGGACACACATTACGCAAATCATCAAACTGCATCACGAGGCAAGCCCTAACTTGGAATCCTGAAGGGAAGTGGAAAAGAGGAAGGCCAAAGAACACAATATGTCGGGAAATAGAAACAGATATGAAAAGGATGAATAATGACCGGAAGGAGCTGGAAAGGACTGCCCAGGACAGGGTTGGATGGAGAATGCTGGTGAGCGGCCTATGCTTCTCCACGAGGAGTAACAGGCGTAAGTAATCATTTTGAAATTTGGTAAATAGCACATAATATTTATTTGCCACTGAGTTTCGAAAGAATGATGAGATATAAACTTACTTAGCCTTGAGAAAATCTAAAATGGACAAGTTAATTTAGAATATTTACTAACTGATAAATTAGTTTTAGAGTTATGTGCAAGTTTTTTTCAGACTGTTGGTGATAGCTCATTGATCCAGTGCTAGCGGATAGATTAATAAGACACTCCTGTGTATGCAGTTTTTTGCCGTTCAGATTTTTGGAATATCTTTTTTGTCCACTTACGATTTTTGTCCTGATAAAGGACCAGTCAAGTGAAGCATTGTTTCCAAAGAATATTGGGTAGCAGAATATATATTTCCTAGATTGACCACAGGAACTGATCTCATTCAAAAAGGATTGTGATTATGTTAGTTACCTTTCTGTCAGGTCAGCCAACTTCACCACCTATACAACTAACCAACATGACTGCCACACTTAAATACTATAAGACTTAAGATGAGTAACCACTCCGTTTTTTAAAATGCTTTTACGAGTATGATTTTATAATCAACAAAAAAGTACGAACCTGTATGAAGCAAAGGTAAAATAAGACTGTTAGTTCGAGTTTCAGTTAAAGATGACTCGATGACCAATATTCAAGAATACAGGATTCATTTATCAATCTAGAAAACATGTTTCATATGCCTTAGTCCGAACATCCTGAAGGATTAACTGATTTTGTACTAAACCCTAGGACCCAGACAACAATAATCCTTTAGGTGTAAAAGTACAATTCTTGTCAATGAACTATAAGATTCAATCGCACTTAGAGAGTATACCTTCATTTACATCCCAAGAAAATACAATCTACAGTGAGCTTTACCACCGACTAAATGACTACAATTCTTAGAGTGGGTTTTGTGGAGAGTTTTAGAAAGTTCACAGGTTGAAATCATGAGTCAGTTGAAGCTAGACCACCATTGAAAACCTGGAAGCACTGGACGGCCGTTTCGTCCTGGTATGGGACTCCTCAGCAGTGCGCATCCACGGTCCCGTACAACGCGGGGCTCGAACCCAGGACCTACCGACTACAATTCTCTGTACCAAATTTATTGACAGCAAGCCACCTACCTACCTCTTCTTACAACTTGAATTCAAATACATCACATTTGAATTAACTAGCTATGAAGTAGAAGTGCGTGACTTATTGGTAAGCCTATTGTTCGACGATTAACAAACTCATTTTCAAATAACAGAGGTTAACTACAAATACTGTTGCAAGCAAATATCAGAGGTAAGTTTGTGGATTTAAAACTTAATTGTCATAGGAGGTCCAAACTTTCTGAGTAGGGCTCACGCGAAAAGCGTATATGATAACTAGACTCTGGATAGTAAGTCTCGAAATTGGTGACGCCGAAAATTGGCGTTTTTTATTAATAATTTAGTAGATAAAACGATGGCTTCGTCAAATTTAACATGAGATCGATTAGTTTTCGGATCGCTCCTATCCCTACTTTTGAAAGATTAACGATAGCGATTTAATAGCATAGGGAACCTTTGTGGTATTAATTTCTAAATTATGAAGTTAGAAATTCACTCACATCACCCATCTGAACAGAATATTAGAAAGCACATGAGTCAATTTAACTGATTTATTAATCCGAAAAAAATTGGTTTAAATACAAGACCACGACGATGTGTAAAACCGTAGGAGTTAATAGATCCTGATATCAGGAACTTATTTGAAGGACAAGAATGCAATAGTAACAAAACATAAAAGTCTGGGAGTGAAAATAAGAAGTAAATAGGATTGTGATCATACTGACAAATACATTTTCACAAAATATAAGACAATTCATGTCGGATATAAGTGTGATCTTGTTCGTCAGGAATACGTGGGAAACCATAAACTAAGCCATCTTGATTACCAATGTAAATAGTATTGTACACTTTCCACATCATATCTCTCACTTTCCTAGCAGGATGGAATAAGCCCTGAGAGGAACGAAAAACACAAAAATATGTAAAATATCCTGTTAAAAATAAACAATATATTTTCCAAAAAGAAGAATAGCGTATGATATGTGTGGATCGAAAGTTTTCACTATTTATTCAACCAAGCTGATAAGAAAAGCTTAAAAGTTGGAGGAAATTGATTCTAGGGACCGTTTATCGTTTTCGTAATCATGGTAAAAATATCACATTTGTTTCGACTTATGTATGATTGTTTTTTAACAGTTGTGAAAGATCTTTTTTTAATTCAAAAGGGTGATTTTCTGCACACCATGTAGTTTTTGTTTGAAGGAGAATATAGCCTCATTCAGAAGCGATAGGACAAAGATATTCAAAACACTTATGCAAATGTTTATCTCTTTCTTGGTAAGTGTAAGTGCAAAATAATAATTAAAGACTAATTGTTTCCAATACCTTAGCTAGAAATAGGAAAACTCAATGAAGATTCTCCAACAGATTTAAATATCTCATATTTAGGCAGAACTTACTTGAAGACAATACTGAAGTACCTTGTTAGGACCAAGTGCAACACGGAGACCTTCAATGCAAAACATGAAAGCCTGAATGACATGTGGTGAAGTTTCCAAGACATTAGGCCAAACGACGTTCAGGAGATGCAGAAGAGCATCTTCACACCCGAACCCATATACACCAAGAGCCATATGAGCTACTGCAGTCATTGCAGTTTGTCTGTGCACAAGATCACTAAAAGGAAAAATACATTAGGTTAGCAAACCGCATAGAAAAAGAGTATATTAAGGAATTTTTAGTTACCGGTCCATTAGTGCATCTTCTAACAGAGGAGTTACGGCATATATGTAGTCTTTGCTCATTTCACCAATATACTCGAACATGAAAGCCAGTGATTTTAAAACACCATTTTGAACATTTAGTTCAGGGACCCTATATTCATTCATAAGACCAGGTAAAACAGTAAATGGACTACATGTCTCTGCAACAATAGCAATGGCAACAGTTGTGCAAACACGATTTTGACGCTCTTGAACCTGAAGAGAAAAATTAAGAATATTAAAATGGAAAACACAAATGAAAGTGAAGAAGATAACAACAAATAGACTGTAACTGGTTTTGACAAATAAGCTCTAAACAACTCACCTTTAAATTATTTAACAGAGTCGCTAAAACATCATGTGGACCGATTGCTTTGGCAATATAACCAAAAGTGTTGACAGTTGCTCGTCGAATTGATTTTTTATGTGCTTTTAATAATTCCAAGAGTTCAAAGCAGATACGCATCCATTCTCTAGAAGAGACATACTCCGACCCACGGTCTGCTATTCGTCCAACAAGATCGATACAGTTTTCTTCTACTTTTTCATGCCTAGAAAACAAGAAGAGTATCATTACCAAGGTTTAACTAGATAATATCAAACTTATTGAATGTAGGGTGGAATGACTGTTTATAAGAAAATTGATTATATACTTGTAATACCTCAGTAACTAGACAACTGAATTTCTGATGTTTCGTGACATAGTGTAAGTCGCTTCTTCAGAGAATAAAAAAGCGAGTTAGATTGGTACAAGTTTAAATAGTACCATTCATTATTTTAATTGCATGTATGGAAAAGAGGTTTAAAGTCGCAATCCTCAGATATCGACAAAACATCAGTAAAACCGATGATCAAAATATAAGTCGGTGGTAAGCTGACTGAAAATGACCATGTTGTATACCATTTAGCGATAATGAACAATAACATTTAAAACTAACCTGTTTTTCAATATTGGTGTCAATCTTGGCAGAAGTTCTTTAATTGGAGGAGTCATTTTGGTCATACCAATTACATTTACAATAGCCTTAAGGGCACCCAAAATACTTCCAAGTACTTCTGGATATTCTTCACCAAGGTATTCATATAAAACTACACCCAAATGACCCATTAGTTTTTCTTCTTGACACACTTTCATTACACCAGCGATACGACTAATAAGGTCGGCTGCCTGCTGACGAACTTTAGCCGATTTGTTATTAAGACGCCATAAGATTGTACCACATATTTGGGGCAAGTACGGCTTAACACGTTTACCAAGTGATTGTACAATAGTTCCAAAACCAATCAACATGACAGCGTCCTGAGTATTAAAAGATATCAAAAGAATGCATATAAGTCTATAGTGTGAAAATGTGGCTTAATGCACTTAAAAACAAGCAAACGACAAGAATTCAGCTTGGTGTTTTACTAAGCTGGTATAGTTGAGGGAACTTGAACAAACATATATCCTTCATTTTAAAAACGTTTCAGAGATTAAAGAACCTATTTTAGGACTAAGCCTACCACCCTATGAATAGTACAGAGAAGTCAATCAACGAACGAGGAGCATCATTAGCACTTGCATTTGAACTAGCAGGCAACAAAACAAGATTCATACTGACCGGCAACCCATTAGATGGAAACCGAATGTTTAGATAATTGGGCTATTGTTCATAATTAGTAAACTCAGCAGGACCTTATACTGTTTAATTCGATTTGTAAACCGCCTATTTAAAAATTTGGAGATAATGACTACTAAAGTACTACTCATTTAAAACTATACGCATAAAAGCAAGCAGAAGTTCCATTGAACCCTGGATACTTCAGAAACTTTAAATTCAAGTTAGTGAATTTATAAAAGGAAAGCATATGAATAGTAATCCAAAAGAGTGACGAACAATTTACTTATTGGAAATATGAAATATTTACAAGTAGCTCACTTCGGTACTTTGTTCCTGGAAAGCATATAATATACCATCGATTAATTGCTCTTCAAGTCGAGCATCAACTTCTGTGCTTCCTAGTGCAGACATAACTTTTTCGATAGTCTCCATCACCATTTTACGATAGGGTTCGGACTCATCTTTGAGGTCATCTACAATTCTAGAGATGATATCAGCTGCACCGACTTTATTTGCTATTTCCACAGTTGTATCAACCAGCTAACAATAATAAGAGAGAAAATAAAGCATCTTCTTATGTACAAGGTAATAAGACCAAACTAACTATTTTAATTCGTGACCGAAAATTGATAATGAGCTGAGTGACAATTACTTCTTAATAAAACGGTGAGAAAAAGAAATATTATACTCAATTATGATGAGGCAATACGACTAGTATATCACATGTCTGGGGATTTTCTTCGTCGTACTCCACATAAAAGATTTTACTATCAGCAATTCCATAACACATTTAATTGACTTCAAAAATAAGTTCAGTAGTGATCTGGAAATAAAAAATATCCTTATTTACGAAATCTAGGATAAATTGAAGTGTAAAGGGCTTTGAAGATGATAAACAGTTTAAAGTCACTTGACTACGGTTACTGATACAAGTTGTTTTTCAGAAAATTTATGAGACACAATATAATGACAACAGTAGTAAAATTGCAGAACCCCCCAAAATTATCAGTCAGGTTATGAAATCACAATTCGCTGTATAATTAAGTGAAATTTACTTGTATGGGAAAAATAAACTGTTTCCGTGCGTTCTTACGATGAGATTTGTTAAGTGTAAATACCTTATGCAAAATTTCTGAATGAAGATCAATGATACTTAGACTTTAATATGACAAATCACCTCTCTTTTTTCAGCAATTTTAATCCGTTATCTAAACTGTTAATTGTGACAATTTTTCTTATAAGAAATTTGAAAGCTGGTGTCTTAAGCGAAATCTGTGATTGACAAGTTCAACAAGTGCTGGAAAACCACCAAATATAATTTTGATTTGACCAGTTTATAAGCTACACAACCTCTATATATAGTTAATTTTGTCTAAAATAATTGTGTCAAGTTTTATTCTGTTGAAGTTAGAAATAATACAGCATCGAGAGCCACAAATGAATAATCTTTGGTTGTTTAGAGACTTTTATTTTCTATTATTGACTACCCATTTGCTAGCCGACAAACAGCTTATAGTCATGCTATTTTATTTGGATATTTTGCATATATAAGGCATAAATTTCCTAATAAATTATATTAAAAAAAGACGTACACCTAGTACTAAGATATGGGATTAGTTCATATTATTGTCTGGTGTCCTGAGCCTTGTCAAGAGATATAGACTAGTTGGTTAGGATCAACGTGATAATCATAACCTATGACTGGAAATTTTAAGTGACATTTCAGAAAACCGGTCAAACTGGTGCAGTTGCATTAATCTTTTATCGACTTCCATATCCTGGGTTTCAACATTATTCCATACATTTTTAACTCGACTTTTATTTGTTCTTATGGTCTATATTCATCAAGCTTAGATTTCTTTCACGTTCACTGATACTATTATCATCTCACTTTTAAAATCTTTATATTGTTAACTTCTCTCTATACTGGTATGAAAAGTGAGAATGTGGGTATACGCGAACTTTTGCCAAGTTTAATGTTTGTGACTGATTAGGGAACTTGGTACGAGCAAATAATAATGCGAATCGGGAACATAGAGTTAAGCACTAGGAAGGTTAAAAGTTCTTCTCTTTTGTGGATATGAGGTCAAAAAATTAGCATTCATCAAGATCAAATTACAATACAACAAAAAACGTAAAAAAGAATACCTGTCTGTAATTGCGCCGATCTAGAGCCATACGTTGTGTCCAAAAGCTACGGAAAAACGGTGGTAGAATTTCCGACTTAATATAATCAGGTTCGACACCGTCTGTTGCACAGCACTGCTTGACTACTTTAAGAACAATTTTTTTCATTTCTTCATCAGGAGACTGAAACTCACGGATTAAAATTAACATAACTTCACGGGTATAATAATTGGCATACTCTGCATCCATTAGGGGGATGAGGTAGCCAATAGCTTTTAGGAAAGCGGCTAAACCTTTGCCTCGATGAGTTCTTATACCACGCCACAAAGGTTCCAAAACTGAGTCAAATGATTCTATGCCATAAGGAGTGGCTGCTTCAGCAAGAGCGGCCAAAGCTAATGCTGTAATAGTGCGAACTTTTTGTTGTTCATCAACTAACCCGTGTTCAATAATTTCCACTAAAGACCGTAAATGCGGTAGAATTGCACAACCCATAAGGATGGATATTTGTTGAACAATCTTGATGCCAGTATGTCTAGCTTGCCAAGATTTTTTAGATTTGCAAACGGCTTTTAAAAATGGCAACAAACTAGGGATTCCTAGAGCTGATGCAACGACAGCAAACGCTCTTGCAGTTGTATTACGCACATATTCGTCCATATTATCAATATCGGGACGCATAGTAGAAATCATAGTAGCGAGTCCAGCAGCCTATTTGATATAAATATTAAAATGTCAGGTTATTCACTAAAAAAATGTTACTCATAATTATACATGAAAGTCACGAACATATAATTTGGAACGAGTTTACAAATGACTGTCACCCTTATCGTACTATCAGCACTAAACAAGTAGAGGTTAGTTAGTGCTCGCCTTATATTAGGTTTAAAAGCATGTGCAACATGAATTTCATCAAGCAACGTGTTATTGTTACTAGTAACGAAATGAAAGTCTAAGAATCGGTCCCATGAATGAGTACTTGGGTATTGAGTTGGATTACATTAAAACGAAATAATCTGTCGGTTTTACGAAGATGTCCTTTCAGATAGCAAACTTTGATTCAAATTTGGTGATTTATTTAATTTAAACAAAAGTTTAATTTCGAAACTATACAAAGCAAAACTAGAAAGGACTTCCTACAGCTAACAGCGGGAAACCAGTTACATAGCTTTTATTAGATTAACTTTACATCCAATCCCCGTTAAATTTTTATGAAATAGATTGATGTATAAATTTCACTACAGTTGTGGCATTTAAAAGGAGCACGACCACACCAATACTGAATTATGTGTATTTATATTATCGTATTAATACGGGAATAATCAGTGTCTCTATTGTGATTTGTTTTGTCCTACTTAATTACAATTAGCATTGTGATTTAATTCCATCTGGTTATGTCTTGATTTGGCTGTGACGAGAAATTTCGGCTGCAACAAACCCACGCCAAGTTTTACACTTCTTGAACTTTATGCTTTTCTTAGGCCCACCTCGAATATTGTCATCACCAATAAAAGTTACTTGAATTTTGGTTGATGATGCATACTATAAGAGGGAAATTTTAAAAAGGAACGAGCATTTGATATTAAAATCCTTGGAGATATGTTGACGGGTGCATCTGCAAGACATACATAGTTGAGATGAAAGCTTAAGTAAATGATCGCCATTTTCATCCGTAGTGCACGATTATCGCCATACAGGTTAATTGACGTAGATTGGACCTCAGTACATACACAAGTGAAGTTAGTTTTGTTTCTTCTGCAGCCGTTTTTTGAGGTTTCATTACTTTTAGTTGCCTTTGTATTAATTGAACATACTATCACTTAATGTGGGAAATCAATGTACAAGCATACTTTTTTCACTTACTTTTGCGAGATTAGATATTATTTCACGCCCCTCGACACGAGCGTAATAATCTTCATCGATAAGTAGAGGTTCAATAACAACCAAAATTTTGTGCACAAAAGGGCGGACAAGATCGTCCAGTTTATACAAAATACGATCGATGACCTACCGAAATAAAAAGGTGAATAAAACTCATGTTTGTTTTACCTGAAGGTTAAAGATAAAGTACATCAGATGACAGGACTGTATGGTTATGACTCAAATTTGATACTAAAAAATGCATCACATCGTAATTATTTAATACTAAATAAAGGATCAAAACTGGGTCTGACGCAGATCATAAAGTTTTGGACGACATATAGAATTGTCTGGATTTTCAAGAAGATGGAAATGGTTCCAACAACAGTATTGGATGCACGATAGTAATATAGATGAATGGGCGGAACTAGTTTACGGATGACCTTTGAGAGACGCCAAAGTGATTGTAAGGAAATTCTCCCTACTAGGGTCTAAAGAGGGTGGGTTGTAAATTAATGCAAGAAATTGAGATTGGGACGTAGAATCGGAAGTTAAGGTTAGGAACTACAGTTGAGGTTTTCATCACGAACCGAAATCAGCTATAATATCAAAATGTCATATAGCCAAACGAATGAATTTTGCACCCAAATCCAAGACCTCCTATCTTGAATTTTCTTGGTTCGACCACAAATTATAGTCTTGCCAGATGAATGTTTTCGTTAAGATAAACTCCGAGCATGAAACAAACCTGACAAGATTTTCTCAGGTTAATCATACGATTTATGAACAAAAATGAGTAACAAACACTACATAGTATGTTTGTCTTCCCTGTAATTTTATTTAAAGCAGTATTATAAAGTTCTACAGATTGGATATTAATGAATTGAAAAGTGGTGCTCAATTTTAAATGCATACTGAAAAGAAAGCATAGAAATAAATATGATAATTAATATTTGTAATGATGAAACAGGTTTAAAACAATTAAGAAACTGTGTAGATGTACAAACAAAAATGCTGAGATTGTAGACATAATTGAGAGGTCTAATTTACCTTCACTAACAAATGGCGTTCTTGATCTTCTAATGTAGGAGACATCAGAAGGGGTAATATTTGTTTGAACAGAGGTCCTGCACCGAATTCCCTTGCTTTCTCAGTGATTTGCCTTAGGGCTGACTTACGCATTGGAGGAGTACCATTTTTTATCTTGAGTAAAAATGTCATTATCTTTCTTTCACGTGCCTCCTCGGGTGGAAGAGTGTCCTCATCGACATCCTTTAACAAAGAGAAAATGTATTTTAAAAATTAACAAAAAGCTTGTACGGCAAGTGAGATGCAACTTGATATTCACCTCCAAATGCTCTCACATGACCACGCGTATACAGCCACTCCAAAGGAAGTCCTACTCACTGCCTTCTCGTGGTGAGTGTTGTTTACGAAATCGAGAGGAAGAGAAGCGGTTTAACCGGGCTAGTGGACCCGGGGAGTTGGTAACCCCTGATTCCAAACCAATTGTGCATATGGACTCCAGGATTCTGAGGGTAAAAACGGCCTATTGTTGGTCACCGGCTACTATGGGACTGCATCTCCTGACGTTGCTCCACTGCCTTGTGGATTAGACCTTCAGATCAAAGGCTCGGGGTGTGGTTCCCTAAGAAAACCACCTGCTAAGAGGTATAATAGATCACTAATTAAACAAGTGGCAAAACTTCTGAAAACGAAAACTAAGAAACTTCCCACACAAAAATTGGTACGAAAAGTGAATTAAACATGGAGATTTTGATGATAGTTCAGTGTCATAAATGACTTGATAGACTAATGCTGTCATGGCTGGCACCAGGATACCTCTTCGTGTGCTTGTGACTCAGAAACTACCGAAGTCAAGAGTTAGTCAATACATTTACCGTTATGAATGCAACCACCTACAGCTGACCGACCTATATGTACGAGTTGGAACAAGTGAATCTATGAATCAAATGATGCGTAATATTTTAAGAATGTATTTGGAACACTAAAGTCAGCGCTAAAAGACAACTACATCAGATGAATTCCAATTCCCAACATGATTTAACATGACACAGAGGTTCAGAACAACCACTTTAAGTGAAGGTCATTAGTCCTACAGAGATAGTGGTATCTGAACATATGGATTACAGCTGTTAAGATAGTTTACTAATCCTGAAAAAGGAGTTCTTCACAGATAATACAAAAAGCATACAATAGATGCTATTGACAAACCCGAGCTTGAGGATCCTGTATACTAAAACAACGTAACGTGACATTGTCCGTAAACCTTGGGTTAAGATGTACTCAAGGGAACGTACCTACTTTCCGACCATTAACAGTCAGTCAGTCAGCTACAACGTAGGACCAGGCACATATATGCATCGGTCCAAGTTGCCATACCTCATTAACACAACAAGATGGACGCCGGATTCATAAAAGTAGTTAATTCAGGTGGTAATATATAAAAGAAAGATTGCAATAAGGATATAGTATAGGAAGAAAGACCATTAACACTTCAGGACAGTCATTAGTAATTAAAGCACTGGAAAATGATGAAACAAGGTTTTGTCGAAGCATCAAGATGGTTTAGAACAATCAAGTTAGGTGTTTGTATACTTCTCAGATTTTGAACTAAACTTACACGAAAAGTGATAGTTCCAAAAAGAAATTGTTTAGTGAATAGAAATTATTTCTGGCGTAATAAAATTGTAAATAAACATTCAGATTAACTAACTTGTAGCAGTTTATCAAAATACTGTAGATCATCAGGTCTCATCATGGGTAAATTAGCTCCTTTCGGTTGCATGTCACCAAGAGCCGCAGCATTACCTCCAGTTGCATTCATACCAAACCCAGCTGTTGTTCCAATATCAGGTGTGCCGATTCTAAAGCCCATTGGAGTCCCTCCAATCATTGGAGTTGGTGTTGCTACCAATCGATGAGCAGGAGTCCTTATTGGGACGTAACCGGCGGGCGGTGGCATGATCTTATAACCTGGAGACAAGTGAATCAATATATTAAATTTTATACACAAAATCGTTTACCCAACAGTTATGTGTGCAACTGTAGCAGAGAAAATGACAACTTGATTGTTATTGATGTTGGTTAGTTAACAGCAGTAAAGATCTCATTTTCCATGAAATGCGGACATGAGACTATCCCTGGTCGTGAAGCTAACTGAAATGATACGTCTCGCTGAAACGAATAACATTAATAGCCGACAGACTGGGTAGGTTTGGTCTTGACTTCATATACGATAAAAAGAAATTACAAATCCGCGATCTATCGGAATCGCAGGTGACTGGCGTAAAAATAAAGACAGTCATTCGAGGAAGTCAAATATATAAACAAACTTGTAAGTGTGCACCAAATAAAATGGTAGGGATGTTTTAAGTACTGACCCGCCAACTAACAAAGGGCGTCGTTATTTGGCATAATTATTTGGGAGGAATATTTTTTTATAATGGAGCACCACCAAATATGCCCCGCACAGAGCGAAAAGATGACATTGCGAACAAATCACAAAGCCCTTAAAAAAACAACAGGTAATGAGAAAGTTGGGGTAAAAACGCGATTTTATTTACACTCAATACAATAAACACAACAGCACGAATGCTAACAGCCTTTATCCTGAGACATATGATGACACGCATAACCTTTAGAATCCCATCTAGTCAAAATGTGTTGAAAAATGTAGAGGTGACAGAACTGCCCCTTATTTTTTACCATGTCATAAACCGTCCATTATTGTTTATCGAAGAATGCACAGTATGAGATGAGTGAACATGAATTAAGGAATGTGTAGGCCACCGCGAATGATGTTTAGAAACAGAAACAATCGTTGGACTGTCGTCTAACCAATGATAAACAATTAAAGGTTTATGTTAGAAAACCCAACATAGTGTGAAAGTAGCAGTTAGCTATTTAAAAGCTCACATTTACTTTATTTTTTGTCTGAAATATGATAACTTGTTATATGTTGCTTAAATATACTTGGCATGGTAGAGATGATGGACTCAGTAAGTTAGTAAGTTTTATCTGCAACAAATAAGTTCATATTTTCAAACTAACACAAGATTGGTGAAAGAAATAGTTGAAATTCAGTGAATAACTCAGTAAAACCGAACAACTCGTACCTGGAGGCAACAACTCATCTAAATCCTCATCAGTTAGAGGTCTGTTTCGATCATCGATCTCCTTCTGCCAAGCATATACTTGTAACTGTTCGGGAGTCATTGGGATTCCTGCTCCTGGTATTGTTATGGCAGCAGACCCGAAATTTGGTGTGGCCATAGCCATAGCCCGTAAACCTGTTGGAGTAGTTCCGGAAGGAGTGAAAGCGCTAGCCGCATTAAAGCCTCCAGGAGTTGCTCCTGGTGTTATCCCACCCATAGCACTTGACGGTGTGAAGCTGCCCGGAGTCTAAAAACCAAAACAATAAAGAACGATGACACCTATCATAGGGATCTAAATCACATATGTGCATCGGCTTTGTCTAGTTTCTGCGACATGCTGAGAGAGAAATGACATATAGATGATCGTTGAAGTTTAGAAGACCAACTTATGGACCGCGCTGTTTTATTAACTTATACAACACGCCAGTGTTTTATCCCTAACCGACTTTCATCAGTACATTTTTGGCAACTCGAAACAGTGAATGCTACGATGATACACGCTTTTATATCACAATATAAAAAATCACTAAGGTGCTCTTGAAAACTGCAACCTACAGGTGCTGTGAGTACTTAGGACCGAAAACCTAACAAAATCATGGACACGAAACAAGAAAGAAATAACATGCATAGCTGATACATCCCCAAATATTCAAGGATAATTTAGTAGGTCGTTGTTTTAAATAGTTTGAAAATCATTCAACTAATTCTTTACTTTGTTTAATCTTGGCAATCAACATTTTAGGATTTGTTAGATACGTCTTGAAGTCTACAGAAATGTTTATTTGATGGGCTGACTTGATAAATTCAGGGAGTACCGTACACGAGATTTAAATGCTTATCGTTTGGTACTACTGAATAAATTTGTTGCTAATATTGAAATATTCTTAGTTATCAGCGACAAGTCAGCACTAAATTATTGTTGGTAGATATTTTTGCTTGCCAAAGCTCTTAGCTAGCTGGGTTATACTAAAAGGTTAGTTGTTTGTTACGGTCAGCGGTTCTACACTAAATTCGAAATTTTTAACATGAAAAGGTACACAGTAAAAATAAAATCATTTGTTGCACTAATATGAAGTCTACAGACGAAATACATTACTGCTACTAACCTGAGATGGTGTTAAACCACCTGGAGTTGATCCTGCTTTTAGTGGAGTTTCGTCCCATCTAGATCTGCGCTTAACGGCAAGTGCGGCCGCAGCAGCAATGCTTGATGGAGTGGAGCCTGGTCCATAAACCATTGAAGATGGTGTGTCTTGAATTGACTCTACACCGCCAGGAGTTCGATCAGCTCTGGGGGTTTCTGCCCATCCAGCACCATGACCTGGTGTATCGGCACCATACCTTTCAGTGTGAGGAGTTTCGTCCCAACGGTTACGTCTAGCACTAGGTGTCCCCTAGAACGGGAAAAAATTAAAAGTATTAGCACGAGGAATTAGTTAGCGGCATGAAATTCACCAGTCTCAATACTTACACCAAATGCAGAACTTCCTGTTTCTCGACCTGGAGTAGCTGCAAAGTGGGGCGTTTCTGACCATTGCCTAACGCTTTGTCCAGGGGTTGCGCCAGGGTCTTTTGCTCTCCCGGGAGTGTCATCCCACTGTGACCGGCTTCCAGGGGTTGAGACTCCTGTAAGTGTAGAGGGTGGACGTGAAGGAGTGAGTGCGTCATCTCCCCAACGCTTCGAAGGAGTTGATGGAGTAGCAGCAGGAGTTGGTGCGTCATTCTTAGTCCCGTTGACATCTGTGGTAGGCTGATCCCATCTCCGTCTTTTCGTGGGAACTTCTGAGTCCATTCGTAGCGTCCCAGTCTTACCTCTTTCGGCTATCTCTGCCTGCAATGCTCGTTGTTCCTTGGTGAGTTGCTGATTAAGCATGATATCTTTGTACGTTGATAGACGGTGATCCGGTGTTTGGTCGCCTACAAACGCCAATTCATCAAATTATTTGTCAGTGGTGCGCAGAAATAAATATAAATAAAAAGAAGCAAAGACAAATTAGGCATTAGAGAACTATACAAATAATTTAACATCATAAAAAAATGACGCACGTGATGGGTTTATCCCGGGCCATCGTTTCCGAACCAAGAGATTGCTTCAAGGTTGAATGATGCGAAATCGCTGTAAAAGAGTTTGGATTGCGTAGAATGTATAAGAACTAAACAATCACCTAATCATATGCACTTACCAAACGCCCTAACCTTACACAAAAAATAAGCCCCGCTGGACACCACATCGCTATACAAAAAAGAAAAATTCGTTCTTAGATGGGGTAATAACTTAAGGATAAATGCTGATAAACAATAAAAACGCTGTTTGTATACATACCGTCAGCGAACGGGTCTACTCTTGCTGGAGAAATCATCAGCAATCGACGACGCGAACGATATTCATCCTCACGATCAGCAATAGTTGGACGGCGAATCTCACCTAAAAGGATAGTCGTAAGAGGACATAATCACTTAACATACCATTTTCAGTGGTCATCCTGCGTCAGTTTTTAGTGTTGACCGCCTCAAATTACGAAGTGTACTTTTAAACGAGGTTATACAGATGATCGAAATCCAATTACAAACAGAATTTTTAGTAACACAAAAAATACTTTTCTTTTATTACTCAGTTTGTTTCTACGCTTTATACATCCAATAAACCGTTCAATGTGACAATAGATATTCTTGATGACACTGTAGGGGTAAATAAATCCCTAAGTCAACAGCTCTGCAAGTCTTTGACATCAATATTGATCTCATTAGTTTTACTGAACAAACCCTGGCTGAAGGCTTTGGTCATGCATCTTCACCAGAACACCACTGGACACACTGTGCAAGGCAATCATCGCAATTAAAAGCCAGATGTGATCAATGCCCATGACATATCGAATACATTCCAAATGTATCTTCAAACTCGTTCACTACTGATTTGTGATTTAACTGAGTTTGGGATCTTATGATTACAGATGTGTTACGGACAAGAGCTTTGTCAGACCCTGAATATCCGTGACATCTCTGATAACTTAAACCTGCACCTTAGTGATCTAACAGTATAGGTGAATTTATAATACCAATTTTTGAAACCGGTCACTTGGCTATGAACCGGGTATCACAGCTTAAAAAGGTCAATATTAACCTGTGTAGGTTGAATAACTGGATAAGTGTGATCGAAACATGAAGCAGTATGGTTGCAAAACGGTCTATACCACGCTTTCTTTCCCTCTAGGCTTAAATCGGTTTCTGCCTGATATGATTTAATTCGTCACCTAAATTGCACCAGAGATGAAAAATCTTTCGACCGCCGTGTTAGGGTGGGGCAGAATAGGAAGTTATTGGGTAGTATATCTTCAACTTAATACTATATAGATCACCCAACTATATCTTTCCAGTCAACCGTACTCCAGGATTAAGACTTGTAGTTAGGTAGTATAAATAAACCAATTCTAAGGATTTCAGTCCACCTCAACAATTCTACGCTTTCAGAAGCTGACATTTTTGGAGTACTTACAAATAACTCATAATGATCAAGCTCTTCCCAATTACTTTTGAGATCTATTTACATTGATGCTTAAATATAACGCTTTTGAAAGAACGCTCGAAATGCTTGAAAGTTCGTGTTTGTTCATTAAATAACTGTTTATTTAATCCATAAGAATTTGACCATTTTAACGACAGCCAATATACGTGACCATGGACAACCCTTAGCAAACCCACCATTTGCATTCGTCAGGCATTAAATTCTAGTACCCAAAGTGTGGGACCAGTAAAACATCCCTAGGTTCCGGCTAAATCATTTGGCAAACAGGTCGCTGACTGTCGAACAATCAGTTGATCCTCGCCAAAGGACAATTAACGTGCATTAATCAGCTGCGTCCCATGGACAGACGCATGCAGTAGTGATTCTACCTTGTATCTCTACTAACCGTTAATAAAAACATACGCATATACCAAAGTGATAGATGATTGGAAATCCATCTCGTCTTGCTCCGAACACGATAAGGGGCGAAAGCAACTTAAGTGTAGGCTAATTAGAAAGCCTACGCAATGGATGTGGGGAGTGATTGTTAACGAAAGAAAAATAGATGGCAGAGGTAGCAACAAAAGGTGATAGTGAACTACTCTTCCGGCTTATCGACCAGACGGATATTAGAAATCCGGCTGTTAATATGACTATGAAAACATGCGAAATTATTAGTCACTCCCGGTCCATGTGATTGAAATATTGGCAGAACACTTTAGGGAACAATTCAAATGACACTCAGTCACACTTCAGATACTCATAATCTCCCTGCAGCCCGAGTGGTGAATTGGCGTAAGTTGCTTAACTCTTAATGATGTTCAAGATATTGCAAGCAACCTAGAGTAAGGGAGAGCAGTAGGTTTTGATGGACTAATCCCAAATATCTCTAGGGATGATGGTTCATATTTCACAGTTAAATTGACCGGCATCACAATCCCATCTGCCTGGCCTCGATAGCTAATCGTCTCAGTTTGCAATAAAGAACAAAAACCCTCCTGTGTCAACTCGAGGAATCGGCTTAACTAGTATGTTATTTAAAATATTAATTTCATTAACACGACGATGGTTAACTAGCGCCTATGAAGTGCAATCACAAGAAATATAGGCTGGCTTCCGATCTTGATATAGATGTATCGACCAGAGATTCGCCCTTCTCCAGGCTCTTGAACATAGACATCCTTCTGAACATCCGACTGTAGTCGTATTCCTTGACATTAAGGCGGCACCAAACCCTGTAGATTGTCAGGTTTCATGGAAGTGTATGTTACTGAAATGTGTACCAAATAATCCAATCAACCCTGTACAGGTTCTCCAATGGAACACTACAAGTCAAGTTAGAGCTTATGGTGATTTATCATTGGAATTGTCGACATATAGTGGTGTTCTTCAGGTCCATCCCTTCTCTCCACTCCTACACAACTTTGTCAAACGTACTTTTGGAGACAGCGCTCCCATCGCCTGATATTTCAGGGGTTTTTGTACCAAAAGATTTACTGACTGACTTGAAATACGCAGATAATATAGTACAGTCTGGTTAAAACACCGAAAAAGTTTAGTCTTCTGATTTCCTTGAACGACAGCCCAAGCATTTTCGGTATGAGAATCCCTCACCCCAAATGCTAAATTTTACCCCAAGACTGGTCTTCGTCAACACCTAAACTCACGATAGGGAATGGAGTAGTTGAGTGTGTCAATCACATTCATCTCGCTAGTCTCACAAACCCCGGATGGTTGGTGTCCGATGAAATTTTGACGCCGATTATAAAAAACTTGGCTGATTTTTATTAACTTGCCTCATTTTTGGCTTGGGCGAGGTATCCACCCAAAAACCAAAGAGTGAGTTTACTGCGCAACACTTCATTCCATTCTGCTTTCTGGGTATGAAAAATGGACGCTATAAACAGATAATGTCCATAGGTTACTAGTATTTGATTTTAATTGTCTTCGAGGCACAGCTCGTGTATTTTGACACCACTGAGTAAGCAATACCTAGGATAGGGTTAAGATGCCATGTACCAATGACGAATAAGCTGACAAGGTAGAAAATCTTCATCGACTGAGGCGGTTTGGACAAGTGTTATAAGTGCTCAACTACCGCCTACCTCAACGTGCGATGTTGTTCAGTGTAGAAGAATGTCAGACGAAAGCCATGAGTGATTTTTGTCACCAATAGGGATAGACGCTATTATAGCTACGAAAGTCCGGCTCCCAGAACTTCATTGTAGTGATCCCGAGTTGCGGTTTGCTCAGCCATAGCGGGTAAATAGCGGTTCTATAATTCATCATAAATTTAAATGTAAATTGTTACCTAAACAAATGTTACCACCCGGCTACTCAACCAATAATTGTTCAATCAATTAAATCTAAATTACAATAAATAAAGAAGTTGATAAAAGACGCAGGAAAATTACCAGTCACAACAAATGAACGCTATTCTATCCTGACTGGATAAAACACACACAAAAGGAGGGGGAAATCAATATGGCTGCCGCCAAGAACAAGTGTCAAGTAAAACGACATAGATGCAGTTCGGGAAGAAACACAAAAACTTAGTGAAGGCGTAATAAAAATAAAAACTACGATAAAAAATACGAATATTAACAATTCAAATGTAATAAAAAACTAGCAATGTACAACTAAGGGGATCAATGGAAACAAAGTGCAAGTATATACATGGAGGGATTTTCACACACACACCAAACATTCAAAACGGGTTCTACATTAAGAATCATATTAAATAAATCAATCGAATTCTGACCTTTCTTCCCGTCATATCAGTCACCATAACGACGGAGATGCAAGTCATAAAGCAAGTCACAAACGTAAGTATGCTACAAGTATTCAGAGTATGACATCTTCACTCGCAACATCTTTTATAATCAGAGTATTTCAACCCAGTCAAATCAGAAGTCAGAAGTGAAGAGGTTCGAAGATATATTTGGAAACCTATCGATATTTTGAAAAGCGTTTAGTCCAAGCTGTCTAACAGTTGTAGGAGATGAGAACATATAGAACCCAAAAGAACTCTCTGCAAGCCAACACCGAAGTCACAATCTTCAATACGAACGTCAAGACAGTCCTACTGTACGGAGCTGAAACTTTGAAAACCACCACAACCATAATAAAAAAGGTAGATAGTCAATTGTATATCACAATAACTGTTTTTAGCACTATATTTTATGCCCACACATAATGAAATACTTTCAGCTCCATTCTGAATTATGACGCCTCATGGTGAAAGTCGAGTTCCTTCGGAATTCACGAGGCCAATGCCCCTTCTAACAACCAGAGCAAAACGTTTACTAGGTACGTGGAACGTTCGAACAATGTGGGAGACCGGGAAGAACAGTCAAATGGCAACGGAAATGAGGAGATACAAATTGGCAGTACTGGGAATCAGCGAAACCCATTGGACCCAAGCTGGACAACAAAGGCTAAATACGGAAGAGATGCTGCTATACTCCGGTCACGAAGAGGAAAGTGCTCCACTTACTCAGGGAGTTGCTCTAATGCTGTCCAATGTAGCACGAAATGCACTTGTAGGATGGGAGTCTCACGGATCCAGAATCATCAAAGCATTATTCAAAACAAAGAAGGAGGGGATCTTAATGAATATTACCCAATGTTATGCATACAACAATGATAGCAACGACGACATTAAAGATCAGTTCTATAAGAGGCTGCAATCAATCATAGCGAAGTGCCCAAGAAAGGACCTCACCATCCTGATGGGAGATCTAAATGCCAAAGTCGGAATAGACAACACCGGATATGAAGATGTTATGGGACGACATGGACTGGGAGAAAGAAACGAAAATGGAGAAAGATTTACAAATCTATGTGCATTCAACAAATTGGTCATAAGAGGCACAATATTTAAACACAAGCGTATACACAAGGCTACATGGATCTCACCGGACCACATTACAGAGAACCAAATAGATCATATTTGCATTAACAAAAAATTCCGAAGAACAATAGAAGATGTGAGAACCAGGAGAGGTGCTGACATAG